TGTGAACTTCTTGAGAAGGCGTAGTTGGCAATGTCTTTATTGTATTTTTTTTTTTATTCTTTTTCCTATTTTTTTTCCGTGCACTCATGCACTCACGCATGCGTGTACCAGATTCACTCGGGTATCTATACACTGGTTGATTGACAGTTGAGAGGTGGGACCAGTGAGCCGAAGCTCAACCGCCGCAAGCACAACTAGGTGAATACACACACGCATGCATGCTCACACATGTACATAAATGGAATTCATTAGGAAGTGGTGTGGTGGAGGCTGACTCCATACACAGTTTCAAATGTAGATATGATAGAGCCCAGTAGGCTCAGGAATCTGTACACCAGTTGATTGACGGTTGAGAGGTGGGACCAGTGAGCCGAAGCTCAACCCCCCCCCCCCCGCTAACACAACAAGGTGAGTACACAAAGGATATAAACCCCTCAAAGTGAACCCTGCTCAGGCTCAGTACCCTACAATCATCCCTCAAGAAGCTGGGAATAGATCAGAGAAAGGGGCCGCTACAATAGAGGTCACATTGGCAGAAATGCTGACAAAAGAGCCCAGAAGCCGTGTCCACAATGAATAAAATTGCCATTGAAGGAAACCACTTCGCAGAAAGCAACAAAATGCACTAGTCAGCTGCTAGAAAGGAAGAGAGATAGTTGTAGTAGGTATTCAAGAACAACATGACTCCAGTTAGTAGGAATGGAATACTAGGGAGAGATCTGCAGTGACAGATCCTGACGGAGGTGCAGGTGGGGTGCGGCTGCATGACGTATAGGGAATGTTTTCAGGCTAGGCTGGTACAAACAAGGGCTGGAACCGGTTGATAAAAGACAGTATTCACGAACGAGGCCACAAAAAGGGGAAATTCTATCAAAGAAGAGTAAACTTCTAAATGTAATGGAATATAAAAAGGTATTCCTTTAGAGAATATGCCGAGGGTCGAGAGACTCATGGCCGCAGACGCAAGGAAAGGCTCAAGGAGAGAAGAGAACTGAGAAGCTACATTCCCCAACCCAACAATTTCAAAGGGGAGTGGGGAACCCTCCACCAGACGATCAATGACCACAGAGAGAAGTACAGCACTCCATCCTGCCACCCTATAACAATCCTCCCCACCCCAAACGCTCCCTGCTCCCCATCCCTTGGGCTCCGTCCCCCCCATATAAGTCTAGGCAAGACCCAACCAACCCCTGACTCCATTTTCCAAACCCCTGTTAACTAGCAAAGCAGCAACCCCCCATACAAATAGCCACACCCACAAAAACCACTTCCTACACCAGTGGACCGGCCCTCGAGGTGGAGAGTGAGAATGGACAGAAGAAAGTGAGCTTCGAAGTAATGTTCTCGACCATTAATGAGGTTATTAAAACACAAACGAACTTGGGGAAAGGTTACAAGAAGAAAACACAGTTACCTTACTGTTTCTTACCTTTCCTTACCTTTCAGTTACTTTTGAATGATTCCGAGGATCAAGGTCTCCGGCCTTCGACTAGGCCTCCTGGTTGGTGGCCTGGCCAACCTGGCTATTTGATGCAGCTGCTCGCACCCTAACATATGAATCACACCCTGGTTGATCAGGAATCTTTTTGTAGGTGATTTTAAAATTCTCTTTTCAGCGCTGAGAGGCTGGCCAGTTAAGCCCCTTATGTGTATCTCCCTCTCCTTAGGGAGAGTGTTGGAAAATCTTGGACCTTTGATGTTGATAGTTCTCTCTCAGCGTACCTATTGTACCTCTGCTTTTCGTCGGGGCTATATGGACCTCTTACCATGCCTACTGGTCTTATCGGGTAATATTTCCATGTACAAATTTGGAACAGTTCTTTAGTATTTTCCAAGTGTATATTATTATGTATTTCTCCTGCCAGATTTAAAAAAAATTATGGAGTCCCCAATAATTTAGATGTTATACTGAATGAATTTTCAAAAAAAAAAAGTGAATATTTTCAATGGAATAGTGAAAGATCTTTGCACTCTCTCCAGATCAACAATGTCTCCAGCTTTGAATGGGGCCGTTAATGTACGCTAATATTCCACACTAGAGAGCATTAATGTCTTGACCATTATCATTGGTACGGCATCTCTTCCTTGAAAAGGTCTTATTATCCAGCCTGTAAATTTTCTTGCAGGTGTGACAGCTACTTATTCCATTCTTTGACATGTAAGGCCTTCCGGCGTGATTGCTCCCAAGTTTACATTATTTATTCAATAGTGTGGGTTGATTACATTTTATATGTGGCTTCCAATTTTATATATAACATTTTCCCATAGTGCCGAAGCTGGCTCTTATCATTATTAAACATGTTTTCTGTGGCCGATTGAAAGACTTCATTTATATCAGCGTAGAAGTTTGTTGTGTTTATGTTGTCTACTCTCATTAAAATCCTAGTGTCGTCTGCAACGAAAGATACAGTAAAATATATTGTGTCCTTGTCTGTGTCCGATATGAGGATGAGAACAATTACTGGAGCAAGCACAGTACCCTGGGGGACTGTGCTTTTCACAGTAGATGATCCGGATTTGATTGTGTTGACTATTACACTCTGGGTTCTGTTCATTAGGAAATTAAAGATCTACCTCCCTACTTTGCAAGTACAGTAATTTCATCTTTGATAATTTTGTGTGCAATAACAACATGCTCAACTTGTCGAAGACTTTTGTGACATCTGTGTATATTACGTCAGCGTTGTTCTTGTCTTTCATGGGACCTAAGGTCATGTTATGGAGGCCCAGCAGCTGTGAGAGGCAGGAGCGCCCTCTTCTGAACCCGTGTTGTCCGGGGTCATGGAGACGCTCTGAGTCCATGCGTACTCGCCTAGTTGTGTCTGCGGGGGTTGAGCTTTGGCTCTCTGGTCCTTTGTGTGTTGTGATCTTAGCACTCTTTCAAAGAATTTTATGATGTGTGATGTTAGAGCTGTTGGTCTATAATATTTAGCATCTGGTTTACTACTACTTTTGTGAAGTGGCGCGATCTCCGGTGTTTGAAGTATCTAACATACTTAAATGAGCAAACACATTGGTTTCCGTTCAAAGCTGAAGAAATTGCTGACCTGGAGAGCGTTCAATGATCCTTTAATGCTAAAATCCACTCTGTAAAACTTCTGAGTTATTGAAGTTAAATTAAATTAATTAGGGATTGAAGTTTAAGACCGATTAATAGTTTTAAATCTGTATTCTCTAGAGCACATGCTTGTGAGATACATAATAATTTACTCTTGGAAAATATTAGAGGGACTGGTTCCAAATCTGCACACACAAATAACTCCACGTAAGACGAGGAGGCGTGGCAGGAAGTTGAAAATAGCCTTGTTGCATAGCAGAGGTGCAACAGGTAGGCTGAGAGACAGTTCTCTCAACACCAAGAGCCCAAACTTGTCAACAGTCTCCCTCTAAACACACGGGGTATAACTGACCCACCGCTTACTGCCTTCAAATGAGAATTTGATAAACACCTCGGAAAGATACCTGATCAACTGGGCTGTGATTCACACGTCAGGCTTTTAGCAGCCTGGTTGACCAGACCAGGAGGAATGATCACAGCTGGGCCGGAGCGGACCGCGAGGATGCTGGGCCTCACAATATAAACACAATGTAACCAATAATATGTGTAATGTATTTGCATGTCCATGTATGGTTCCCCGAGTGTGTGATTACAACTACATGTTTGTTTTTGTATTGTTGTAGTGACTAGGAAGTGGTATAACAGGAGTCGTCGACTGTTAGGCCAGGTATAAGTCGGTCTTATGAGAATAAGTTATTACTTACTTGGGGCTGTCACATGTTGCTCTTGACTCAGCGTTGAATGACGCTTCCTACAGTTAAGGAGAACTTCCCCCCCCCCCCAAGCTATGTTAACTTAGTTAATGTAATAAATTCCCAGCAAACACACAGCGAAACTACAACGTTGGTACAACGTTCGTTGGTACAACAAGTTTTAACACCTAACTAGTCATAACAACCAATGTAGCAAGTTGTAACAACGTTCTAATACGTCATAAACACGTTAAGCCAAGATGTAACAACTTTTTTACAAGTTGTAACAAGCGGAAAATAGGGACTGTTACGGTTTGTGTTTCCAGGGTTACCTTTAGGCAAACACTGTTGTATGTGTGATCCGCTCTTCCTCAAGTCGGAGCCGAGTCGGCCGAGCGGACAGCACGCTGGACTTGTGATCCTGTGGTTCCGGGTTCGATCCCAGGCGCCGGCGAGAAACAATGGGCAGAGTTTCTTTCACCCCTATGCCCCTGTTACCTAGCAGTAAAATAGGTACCTGGGTGTTAGTCAGCTGTCACGGGCTGCTTCCTGGGGGTAGAGGCCTGGTCGAGGACCGGGCCGCGGGGACACTAAAGCCCCGAAATCATCTCAAGATAACTTCAAGAAGAAGTCTAACGCGTGCCTCGTAAAGATGATGTATAAGCATACCTCATATCAAATAAAATGTGATAATTTATTCAATTAAATTTCAGTCCCTGTAAATCAACTTTCCCAACCAATACCGAGGCAGGTCTACTGAGGACGGTTTGTTAAAGTTAGTCTCTCCTCAGTAAAGGTCAACACCTCAATGTGGAAGGACTCATTATGCAAGCGTGCTCTTGCTCTAAGCAAATATTATTAATTCGTTTGGCAACCTCTGCGAGATGTCTGCAAAATTTGTCATATGCAAATTTGCAATATTGCACTAGGATGTTGCTGGAAAATGGTATGAATATGAGACGCACATGATTACTTCAGCTTGAGTGGTTTTTTCCATATATAAGTAACATTTTCTGGTGCTACAAGGAAGTCACAGGCAAATAGCAACGAGTTTGGTGCAGAACTAGCTTGATTAACTTGACTATTGCTGCTTGTATGAGAAAAGTACTAGGCTATGGAGAACTGATACAGTTTTCCCTTTTAACACAAGTACGTTTTATAGGAATGGTGATTTATTTATTTAAATTAAGAACTGATTTAATGTTACATGGAAAAAATGTGTGTCTAAATCTATATATTATTGTCCACAGATACAGTTCATCGCCCAAGCCCAAGTCATGCTTAGTGCAACGCGGAGAGTCTGGTGGATCAGTAACAGTGTCACACCACAACCACAACTCGAGGGCCCACCACCACGAGTCCGCCATACCCAAGATGACCCACCAGCACAGAACGGGGTGAGTTAGTGCCCTCTGGTGCCCTAGTGCCCTAGTTCCCTAGTTTAATAACCTGGGGCTAGATTCACGAAACAGTTACGCAAGCACTTAAGAACGTGTACATCTTTCCTCAATCTTTGACGGCTTTGGTTACATTTATTGAACAGTTTACAAGCATGAAAACTTGCCAACCAACTGTTGTTATTGTTATAAACAGCCTCCTGGTGCTTCGGAGCTCATTAACTGTGTAATAACTGTAAACAAAGCCGCAAAGATTGAGAAAAGATGTACAGGTTCGTAAGTGCTTGCGTAACTGCTTCGTGAATCCGGATCCTGATCATGTCTATTCTGAATTAAGAGAATAAGTTGTCATGAGGTTCATCTTACGGGTATTAATGCAGAATATAAACTTTGGGAAACTATTAGCCTGGAGCTGGACTGACTAACTAACTAATAGGACTAACTATTAGTTCTCATAAATCAACCCGTCCTCGACTCAAGATACCTGAGCAACTGGGACTTGTATGTTGTAAACCCATTCCATCCAGTTGTGGACCCCACAGACGCATTCATAACTTTTAACATGCTTTTCATTTAAACCAGAAATTTTCTCAAATATGAATTAATATTATAATATATTAGCATATTGAGCATATATAGGTTAGGGTAGGTGTTTAGGTTCTGTTGGTGATTATTTGTAGTACGTGGGTGAAGCATTTACAGCGTTGTGGTTCGAACAAAAGTCGTCAGCAAAGCACTTGTTCCGGAAGTGTTCGAACGTCATCAGTTGTGAGTCGTGTGTAAACCGTTTTTCATTCATAAACAGCGGGTTTAGCGGGTGCATGGAATCACTTTTGGGTCTTTGTTTGGAGGACGGACTATAAATAAAGGCAAAAGACCATTCCATGCACTAATGGAACACCAAACCCGCTGTTTATGAATGAAAAACAGTTTACACACGTCATGATGATGGTTTCTTTACCTCTTTCTCCAAGTTTAGCTGTTGCTCTAGATCCTAGCTAAGTTGGAGTCCTATCAAGGGAAGGTGGTCCTTCCGGCTCTTTGGTGGCTCAGCCTTGGTTTCTGCTTACTTTGCATCCAAACCTGGGAGTTTTTTTGCATGGTGCCTCCTCAAGGCATGCCCCTTGTACCTTGGGCAGCTGTAATGCTGTCTACTCAGCCTTACAGCTGAGCGGACAGCGCTTTGGATTCGTAGTCCTGAGGTTCTGGGTTCGATCCCTGGTGTAGGGGAAAACAAATGGCTAAAGTTTATTTCACCCTAATGTCCCTGTTCATCTAGCAGTAAATAGGTATCTGGGAGTTAGACAGCTGCTACAGGCTGCTTCCTGGAGATGTGTGTAACAAAAAGGAGGCCTGGTCGAGGACCGGGCCGCGGGGACGATAAGCCCCGAAATCATCTCAAGATAACCTAACCTCTCTCAGAAGATCGGCCCAGTGATGTACCTTGCTGGTTTGACCTGCTCAGCTCTTTGTGCCTGGTATTTTATGTGTGTGTTTATCGCCATCTCTATGATGATATTCCACCATCAAAGTAACCACCTGCTCTATGGTGAGCAGGTGGTTACTTTGATGGTGTTCCACTTGTGGTTGTCTTCTCAGTGGCAGTATGAGGTTTCTTGGCTCTCTTTTCGCCACTTCCTTTCTCTTAATTGTTGCTCTTCAGTTTCAGAGCATGTGGGTTCTTTCATCCCTTTCTTGGTTGTTTCTTGATTGACACTTATTAACAAATAATGTTGCCTCGTATTGTGTGGGACAGGCAGAGCTGCTGTTGCTTTGTATTGTGCGTTGATACTTCCTCAGCACTGTTTCTCAAAATTTCTTGTGCATTGTTTCACATCCAGTCTGCTTATGCCCATGATGTTCATAAGTACAGTACTCTCCTGTTGCATCTGTTTTTACAAATATGTTTTGGGTTTGAGATTTGGCCACGTGGGTTTTGGTGCTCAAACAGGGTGCTGGTGGGCACAACCAATGTTCCCGGGCCTCATCGCCCTTGTATTGCATTGGGTCGTGTGTCTTGACCTGCTGTCTCAGCTTTGTCTTGATTGCCGGTGGTTCCTCCTCCTTGGTGAGTCCCTATTTTTCTTCTTCATGGGTAGTTAACTTCAGGGAGCCACAACGGGGCTTCTCAAAAAAACCCAGCATTGAATGTAATAAAATGGACAAGCCCCAGTGGCTTCCTGAGTCCACCCTTCTTTTGTAGGTCATCAATTGGGGGAGATGACCCTAATTGATGACCTTCAAAGGAGGGTGACCCCAAAAACTTTAAAAAACTGCAAACATATATTAATAATGTCATCATCAGAAGTAATTTTCCTGCTGATTTGTGTCATCTGCAAAATGTGATACGAAGCTGTGACTTGTCAGATACTATTTAGACGAAAATTACAAGTAACCTGGGTTGGGTGCAACTTTGGCTGACGGGGTACACTGGGGGTTCATGTGCTGGTCTACCCGCTGGGTCGAGTTTGGCTTCAGGCTTTGGCTTCTGTTCTGGTTCCTTCGGGAATGCCCCTTCAGCCTATCATAGTTGCTGGGTTCAACCTACGGGCGCCTTACATCAGTTGCTGAGTCGCCGCCTTCCTCTCTGGATTTTTCGGGGTTCACTGCCTTGGCGCGTACCCGAGTCCAAGCTTGATGTATTTATGGACGCATTCTCCCTTGGCTGGGGCTTTGTGATCAGTGCTCAACAGACCGGCCAGGGGCAGTGGGGTCTGTCCTTCTGTCAGGCCCACAGCACAGTGCGGGAGTTCACGGCAGTTTGGCTGTTGCTCCGGAGGGTTCGAGTCACTCGGGGCTCCATGATCCGGCTCTATTCGGACTGCTTCCCGGTGGTTCATCGTCTGAACCATGGGGGTTCTCTTCGGTCCTTGGCTGTTTGCGGCTGGTCACTTCGAGTGGCTCGTCTGCGTGTTTCTCTAGGTTTGGCTCTCCATGCAGTTTATATCCAGGGAGTGTCCAACGTCCTGGCGGACGGCATGTCCCTGTTCATTTCCCTGTCCATGGAATGGACGGTCGATGCCAACTTCTTCATTTGGCTCTGCCAGACGTACAGGCTCCTGGAGGTGGACCTCTTCATGTCTTCCGATATTACTGGCCTATTTGTACTCGCCTATTTGTGCTTGTGGGGGTTGAGCTTTGGCTCTTTGGTCCCGCCTCTCAACTGTTAATCAACTGGGTTGTGGTGCCCTTCCCCGACTCTGGAGCCTTGGTGGTGGATGCCTTTCAGCAGAATTGGTTGAGGTGGAGTTACCTGTACCTCTTCCCCTTGGTCCAGCTGTTGCTTGGGTTTCTGGCTCAGTTGGAGTCCTACCGCAGGAGAGTTGTCCAAGTGGCCTCTTGGTGGCCGGCCCAGTTTCAGGCGCCTTGCTTTGTGTCCGTACCCAGGGCATTTTCTGCAGCTATGCCTCTTTCAGCAGATCGAACCGGTCCAGTACATGGCTGGTTCAGTCTACTCCTCCGCTCTTCGCGTCTGGTCTTTTTGACGCGGGTTTATCATCAACTATGTGGTGATCAGGTGGCTTCGTTGATGGTGTCCCACCTGTGACTTTGTCTCGGCAGTATGAAGCTTCCTGACATTCTTTATGCCATTTTCTGTCTCTTCATTGGTTGTCTTCGCTTTTTGATCGGGTTGTCTTGTCTTTTCTTTCTTTGCTTTTTCAAGACCATCATTTTATGCCGAATATTATCGCCTCATATTGTGCAGCGCTGGTGGAACTGCTCCAGCTTGCATTTAGGGTGGATGTCACTTCTGCCCCATTCTGTAAGCTTTCTCATGCTTTGTTTCACCTCCAGCCTGCTCATGCACCGCCTGGGCAATCCTGGTCCTTGGACCAGAGCTCTCTCTTTCTCTCTTGTAGTTGCCCCCTTCGGTTCAAGATTGTTTTTCCAAGGCTAATAATTTGTTAACCCCTTACACTATGGAGTTGTAACGGTTCTATTGTTACGTAAAGTATGGTGACAAATAAACACAGACACTAAGAAACTATATATATATTTGGTCGAATATACAGAAGTACACAGGTGATACTTTGGTGTGAGTTGAGCACACTGAGCGTCGGTACAGTATCTCGCAAGTGTCTGCTCTAGACCACACTTGAAAGTAGACTCTGGTTAATGTTTGCTATTCTGCTGCTTATATGCTCGGGCAACACCTCACCGTGTTGCCCGGGCAACGCCTCACCTCATTCATCTCCAAAGGTTGACAGGAATATTAACAATGCATTTGGAGCGAGTATATTATTGGGATAATCTACTCGCTACAGAGTTGTCACACGAAACAGGTGAGCAGTGCAAAGGGTATGCCTACCGTGATGACATACCAACCAGTCTACTTCTCAGTCAACCAGTCTGTTTCACTTGCCAACAAATTGGCTTCTCTTATCAATCAATCTGCTTCTATACCAACCAGTCTGCTTCCCAAATGTTGCCAGCTAACTAATCATACTTATCAGTCTTTTTGAGGTCTACTTTTCTATCAGCAAATCTATGCCAACCAGAAACTAGTTTAGTTATTCTTTCATTTGTATTATGTTAATGTTTAAATGCATCAGAATAAATATAATAACTATGTTGTGATTATTTAGTGTACGAAATCGTGGAGTGATGCAGCGAGGCTCCCTGGGTCATTCATCGTCTCATGAAGACTCCTCGCCCCATGCTTCACCTCACCCGTCACCCCTTCTCTACAGCTCCTCGCGTCCTGCACCTCAAGTAAGGCTTCCCTTTCTACAGTCCTCATGCACTCTTTCCTGTTCTTCTTACTCTAGTTAAGTTGCTCGTATCATTCCGAATACTGGAAGACTAGACTAAATTCAACGATGTGACTTATGAATAAAGATAGCATATACTTGACTCTTTGTACCTGCAGGATCAAGCTATATTTCTTTGATCCCTCCTTTCTAGCCTCTGGTTGTCTAATGCGATGACTCTCAAACAAATTTGTATCGTCTGCTTTTGAAATTATGAATAGGGTATGCTTTTAATGTGCTTGTTTAGTTCATTCCATTTTCCTACTATTACTTAAGAAAACTTTTTTAACATCTCTGTGGCTCAACAATTTCAAGAACTGAAGATGAGGGTAAATAAGTTGAAGATGAGGCCATTCGTTCCTCATGTTCTCCATCTAATATTATGCAGTGGCGTTTGCCTGGGCAAGCAGCTAACACTGCAAACCTTCACCTGGTAACACCATGTACACTACTGCCACTAGCCACAGGAGTAGTGAAACTATTATCAGATTCCACATCACTAAAGCCAGAAAATGAGTCATCTTCCACATATTGGTGGCCCAAAGAAACATCATGCTGCAGAATCCCACATGACCTGTCTCATGGTGGTGTGGAGTGAGGGTGAGGCAGCAGTGGTGGTGGTGTAGGCCTCACCCTTGAGGCAGGCAGTGTTGCTACCACTGTCTGTATCACTCTCATCTGTGCCCCTGGGCATAATCTTTATCAATGTTCGTGTTATCAAAGTCACTTTCCTCAGCTTCTGGAAATAATTCATTGTTAATTTTCTTATCGGTCAATGACTGGGTGGAGCGGTTTGATGAGCACGGTCGTGATCCAGGTGGTGATGTGCCAATCATGGTGGCCTGATTTTAATTGTGGCCTTCTCGTCATGGCGGCCTACACCAGATTTTTTCATGGATGGCGGCTGTTTATTATCGCTCTTGGTGAGCAGATATAGGTGATCCCATTAATGCACAAGACTTTTAAATCTTATGAGGTAAAGTACTTCAAAAAATATATACAGTATATACAATATGTGCTGTGCATGAAGTCATACCAAAATCGTATATGTACTTTATATACAATTATCACCGTTCAAGGGTTAATATTAAGAAATGGAAATGACCATTTGATTTCTAGCTTCCTGAAACTTGACACTTGTATTGAAACTGTGAGGCTTTTTATCACCACTCATCTCTGCTCACTCTGGAAGTATTGTCTTCCATATTTCTTAGTTTCCTATTGATCTTTTCCCCATATTCAGTTCGTCACTTATTTTATCCATTTGGAATAATCCATACTGATTTCCTTAGGTGCCCCCTACCCTCAGTGATTATCCTGTTCCTTTACTTGTGTGCTTTTGGCTCTTGTAGATGCCCTACTTTTTCCTGCTTTTTTCTTAGGGAACAACCAAGTGTACTGCTTAGAAAATGGCTTTTCTTGTAAATTACTTGAAAAAAATTTGTAATTTTCTTGGGGGAGCCCCTTGTGGCTCTTTGAAGCTACTTTACTGATGCAGTGCCAGATTACAAGGTGCCACCAGTTGTGGTGTTCTTATTGGCCTACCAGGTACCATGAGCCAGAACCTTGCCCCCTCAGAGAGGCAAAGCGGCACCAAAAAAATTTATGTAAATCTATTCATGTCTACTACCACCCAGGAAAGGCACCCAAAAATTTGACGAAACAAAACGAACCATTGCTTGGTTAAAAAAACAGACCACAGCCTCAAAATAGCCAAAAGATCTCCCACAAAAATGTAAACAAACTACTGAAAATTCGTGAAACTAGCACAAGCTAATTCATCCAACCTCCCCTCCCTTATTTGGGGAAGTAGGGAGGCAGACTAGGTCATACGGCTGCCAATTGTGTGCCCGGTTGGATGCCCCATATTTCTCCCTTTCATGTTTAGGGACTCGGATTTGGGAGTGTTGATTAACTCAACCACGGTTCCATCTGCATGTCCTCTTCCTTGCCCAGTGGGTGTGGTTCACCCTTCTCCTTCCCCTGCTTCCAGATCCAAAGCGGCTTGAGGATTTCAAAGTCAGGCCAGCGTTTAGCTTGGGATGTAGCTTGGGGAAAACCAGGGTTTGCTCCTTCCAACTTGGGCGTAGAGTCAGTTGAGACTTCTGGGTCTTTCTGGTTGACCCCCTCTCTTCCAAGGCCTCTTCCTTTGACTCTGGTTAGGCAGTGGGTGTGGACGATGACTGCTATTCTGTGGCTCCTGAGGCTTGGGAAGGGGAGTCAGAGTTTGGCCTAGGGTCCTGTTTAACCCTTATTGGGTTCTAGTGGCTTCTGTGTAAGGTAATTTGTTGCAGAGGGAGTGGTGATTTCCTATCCCGTCCTCCCTGTATGAGTTTGATTTTGGTGCAGCTTCCCCCATGGTTTGTTTCTTGGTACTTTTGGTTTCTTGTGTTTCATTCTTCTGGAGGTTTCCTAACTCTCGAGTTCCCCCAGCCTATTTCTTGTCGGCCTATTTCTGACACATTGTGTGTCCGTGGGGATTGCTCTTGCCTCCCACAATGATTTTGTCAAGTCAAGGTTGGTGTTGGTCGGGGTTGGTCTCCCTTTGAGCCATATGCTAGGTCACATACACTTCCTCAACTGATCAACTCCATTCTCACTCTGTTCGAAAAGCTGGCTTGCAGGGTTTGCATTGGCCCTATCATGGTTTGCCCCTTTGACGGGCAGTTGGGGGGAGACTCGCTTTCTTTGCCAAAGTTGGGGAGAGGTTTGCTCAGTTTGCCAACGAATCGTGAGACCTCGCTTGGTCCCACAACTTGAGGACTTTTCAGGTCATTTCTTGCAACCTGCAGTGGTATTGGCTGGTTCTGCCTCCCTTCGGGGTGTTTGGCCTTTTGGGACAGGCCTCCTCTCCTCTCCTTCACCGAATCATCTCGGGGTGAGTGGCTTCGCGCGTGGTCATTTCAACCATGACCAAAGTTTCTACCAGTTTCACAAATTTTTTATCATTCATTTACATTGTTGGGGAAGTTTTATTTGCTGTTTTGAGGCTGCGATCTTGTTTCTAACCAAGCAGTAGTCTGTTTTATTTTGCTCACTTTCTGGGTGCCTACCCTTGGTGGTGACAAACATGAATTAATTTACATAATTTTTTTTAGTGCCACTTGCTCCCTGTGCTTCATAAAACCAAAGGAGGCCAGGTTTTTGCTCATGGTTCCTGGTAAGCCAATAAGAACTCCACGGCTGATGGCACTGTGTTGTCTGGCACTATATCAGTATACTAGTAGCTTCAGGGAGCCACTGGGTCTCACCTAGAAATTAGCATTTCATTACATTCAATGTTTTTTTTCTTTGTTTGCTTTAATGTGTACTGTACAGAGAGATGAGAGGGACATTTTTGTTTTTAAGGATACAGTTCAGTGTGTGTGTATGTATATGTGTGTGTGTGTGTGTGTGTGTGTGTGTGTGTGTGTGTGTGTGTGTGTGTGTGTGTGTGTGTGTGTAATTACCTAAGTGTAATTACCTAAGTGTAGTTACAGGATGAGAGCTACGCTCGTGGTGTCCCGTCTTCCCAGCACTCTTTGTCATATAACGCTTTGAAACTACTGACGGTCTTGGCCTCCACCACCTTCTCACTTAACTTGTTCCAACCGTCTACCACTCTATTTGCGAAGGTGAATTTTCTTATATTTCTTCGGCATCTGTGTTTAGCTAGTTTAAATCTATGGCCTCTTGTTCTTGAAGTTCCAGGTCTCAGGAAGTCTTCCCTGTCGATTTTATCAATTCCTGTTACTATTTTGTACGTAGTGATCATATCACCTCTTTTTCTTCTGTCTTCTAGTTTTGGCATATTTAATGCTTCTAACCTCTCCTCGTAGCTCTTGCCCTTCAGTTCTGGGAGCCACTTAGTAGCATGTCTTTGCACCTTTTCCAGTTTGTTGATGTGCTTCTTAAGATATGGGCACCACACAACAGCTGCATATTCTAGCTTTGGCCTAACAAAAGTCATGAACAACTTCTTTAGTATATCGCCATCCATGTATTTAAATGCAATTCTGAAGTTAGAAAGCATTGCATAGGCTCCTTGCACAATATTCTTAATGTGGTCCTCAGGTGATAGTTTTCTATCTAGAACCACTCCTAGATCTCTTTCTTTATCAGAATTCTTTAAAGATTTCTCACATAATATATAGGTTGTGTGGGGTCTATGTTCTCCTATTCCACATTCCATAACATGACATTTATTAACATTAAATTCCATTTGCCAAGTGGTGCTCCATATACTTATTTTGTCCAGGTCTTCTTGAAGGGCATGACAATCATCTAAATTTCTTATCCTTCCTATTATCTTAGCATCATCAGCAAACATGTTCATATAATTCTGTATACCAACTGGTAGATCATTTATGTACACAATAAACATCACTGGTGCAAGAACTGAACCCTGTGGTACTCCACTTGTGACATTTCTCCATTCCGATACATTGCCTCTGATTACTGCCCTCATTTTTCTATCAGTCAGAAAATTTTTCATCCATGATAGAAGCTTACCTGTCACCCCTCCAATATTTTCCAGTTTCCAGAACAACCTCTTATGTGGAACTCTGTCGAAAGCCTTTTTTAGGTCCAGATAGATGCAGTCAACCCAGCCATCTCTTTCCTGTAATATCTCTGTGGCCCGATCATAGAAACTGAGTAAATTCGATACACAGGATCTTCCTGATCGAAAACCATACTGTCTGTCTGATATTATATCATTTCTCTCCAGGTGTTCTACCCATTTAGTTTTGATTAGCTTTTCCAATACTTTCACTATTACACTTGTCAATGATACAGGTCTATAATTGAGGGGGTCTTCCCTGCTGCCACTTTTGTAGATTGGAACTATGTTAGCCTGTTTCCACACGTCTGCTACGATTCCTGTACACAGGGATGCCTGAAAGATCAGGTGAAGTGGAATGCTGAGCTCAGATGCACATTCTCTCAGAACCCATGGTGAAACGCCATCTGGGCCAGCTGCTTTGTTCCTCCCGAGCTCCTTTAGCATATTTTCCACTTCATCTCTAGACACCTCTATCCGCTCTATGTTGTTCTCTGGAATTCTTATTGTGTCTGGTTCTCTGAAGATTTCATTTTGTACAAACACACTTTGGAACTTTTCATTTAATGTTTCACACATTTCCTTTTCATTTTCCGTGAATCTGTTTCCCATTTCCAACCTCTGGATATTATCCTTTACCTGCAATTTGTTGTTTATGAATTTGTAGAATAGGCCCGGTTCTGTTTTACATTTATCTGCTATCCCTTTTTCAAAATTTCTTTCTGCCTCTCTCCTTACTGCTGTATAATTGTTTCTCGCATCTTTGTATCGCTGGTATGTTTGGGGGTTTGGCCTCTTCCTATACTGATTCCATTTTTGTGTCTTTTGGTCTCTTGCCCTCTCACAATTTCTGTCGAACCAATCCTGTTTTCTGGTCCTGCATCTCTGTTTTGGTATAAATTTTTTTGTGCCTTTATCATATATTTCACAAAACTTGCCATACATCTCATTCACTTCCTTGCCTAGCATCAAGTCTGTCCAATTATACTCACTAAAAAAATTTCTAAGGTCACCATAATGTCCTCTCCTGAAGTCTGGTTTTTCAACTGCTTCAACCTCCTTATTTTCTTCCAGCTTATAACGCATTGCATACTTTATTCCCAAAAAGACATGGTCACTTTTACCCAAGGGAGGAAGGTACTGAATGTCAAATATCTCTTCCTCCTTCCTGGTAAATATCAAATCTAGCATGGAGGGAACGTCCCCTTCCCTCATCCTCGTAGCTTGTTTAACATGTTGATACAAGAATGTTTCCAGGATGAGGTCTACAAATTTACAGGTCCAAAAATCTTCTGTTTTAGCTTCATATGCTTCCCAGTCTATGGATTTCAAGTTGAAGTCACCGACTATCAACAGTCGTGATCTATCGTTATCCGCTCTCGCTATAATCTCTCTCATTATTGTTATAAGACCTTCACGTTTACTATCTAGCTCCTCCTTTGACCATGTGCTGCTTGGCGGTGGACTATATGCATTTATCATCATTAGTTTATCATCCTCATAGCAGATCTCTAGTGCTATTATGTCAACTTCTTGTGGATTGGCAGTCATTATTTCCTTCACCTTTAGGTGTTCTTTTACCAGCACAGCAACGCCACCGCCTTTCCTAATTTTTCTGTCCCGTCTCCAAATTGAGTAGCCCCTTGGGAATATGACCTCATTTAAAATTACATCTTCAAGTTTTGTCTCCGTGAGTGCAACAATGTCTGGTGTCTGCAGCTGTATTACATCACTTAACTCCAGTATCTTCGATCTCACTCCATCTATGTTGGTGTATGCAATCTTCAGGAACTTGTTCCCCCTCTCCTTATTCTTCACTCCCCCTCTCTCTATTGATTTTGTTGGTTTGCCTTTATGTACCACTTTACTGGTTTGCCTACCCCTATCACTTTGTAGAAAAAAGAATTTATTTCTTCTTCATTCCTGCTCTCATTTAAATGTTTTGCCTCGGCGAGGTTCAGTTTCAGCTTCTCTCTATCTTCTTTTGAAAGATCTCGTCTTAACGACCACCCTTTCCCATCCTCATCCCTTTGCAATTTTCTAGCATTCCTTAGTACTTCTTCCATCTGTTTGGCACCGTTTAGGGTGATCCTCAAAGGTCGATCTTTCCCTTTTACGTACCTGCCTATTCTCCTGTAGTCGCACACATTCTCTCTGTTTGTAAGACCTTCCACGAGGCCAACAATTTTATCTACTACTTTAGCTTCTTCTACAGCTCTTTCTGACCTAGATGTTATCGCCTTTTCTTTGCAGCCAAAAATGATCAGGGACTTACTCCGATCAACTGTGTTTTGCACCAACTTCGGGTTAGATGCCAATTCTTTCCTCACTTCTAGCCTAATATTTGTTTTATCTTGGTTGCTGCAGTGTTTGACTTCCTTTACTGCTTCTTCTATTTTTTCCTTCTCCTTGGCCACTTGTGCATAAGTGAGTTGCATATCTTTCTTGCACTGTTCTATTCCCTGTGTAACTTCCTCCATCTGTGCTGACAAAAGCTGTTTCTCCTGTTGAATTTCCTTGCCTAACCTATTGTAGTCATTTATGTTTAAATTTACTTTAACTTCTTCCAAAGCTATTTTTAAGAGTTTATTTTCTTCTTCCATGGCTTTGCAATTTGTTTCCAATTGATTCTTATCCTTGCGCAAGTCTTTCACTAAACCCTCAAGACATAAAACTTTGCTATTCAAATGGTCATTACTTTCTTTCAATTTACTAATTATTTCTACATGAGAGTTCACGTGTGTGTGTGTTCGTGTGTGTGTGTGTGTGTGTGTGTGTGTGTATATGTATATGTATATGTATATGTATATGTATATATGTATGTGTGTGTGTGTGTGTATGTATGTATGTATGTATGTATGTATGTATGTATGTATGTATGTATGTATGTATGTATGTATGTATGTATATATATATATATATATATATATATATATATATATATATATATATATATATATATATATATATATATATATATATATATATATATAAATAAATAAATAATATCAATCTATCTATCTTTGAGTATAATCAAAATCTACATATATTTATATTTGTGCAGGCAAACACACACCAGTGCCAACATATTAAGGAAACTGGTCCACCTCCGTCCAGTGATGATCGCATCACATTGGTGGTGGAAGGCACACGCTTCATTGTTGACCCTGCCATATTCACAGCCCACCCTAACACCATGCTTGGAAGGTTTGGCATTGTCCTTAATGTATATGTGTAGTACTGTTTTAAGTTTTTTTCTTGGTAGATATCTTAGGGTTAAAATTAAAATATTTTATGTGAATGAAAATTAATCATGTTTTGATTCTAAGCTTGCTAGATTAAAAAATAATTAAGGTAGAGTTTCATAGCACTGTCAAGAAATGCATTTTTTCCCAGGGGGAGTTCCTTGATCCATCTCGGCAAGCCATCTTGCCGAGATGGCTTCCCACTTCTGGGTCACATCAGTCATAGGAGCCTCTTTTAACTTACCAAAGATCAGAACCAGAACCTGGTCCCTTCATGGAGACACAAAAAATTTGGAAAGGAGGCATCGCTGTACTGGTGTAGAAACATCTGAAGATGAGGTAACTAATACAGTACTTGACATCCCATGAGAAGTTGACATAACGGTACTGCGGGTTTGTAATCAGGATGATGAACTGATAATTATCTGTGTGCCTACAGCAAGCAACAGGACAGAGAAGGAGCTGGATGGCAAATGAGAGAGCCTCATAATGGTCATGAGAAATTATAATAAGAGCAGATAGAGATAAATAATTATTGTCATGGAGAAAAATTTGGACTGGCAGATTTGTAAACCTCATCCTGGAGACATTCATGTATCAAGCCATTCAGCAGACCACAAAAATAAGGGAATGGGATGTTCCATCAATGCTGGATTCGATATTCACCTGGAGTGAGATATTTGACATTCAATACTTTCCTTTCCTTTGGAAAGAGCATCCCTTTGGGAATAAAATATGGAATGACATAATCTTGAAGAGAATTGGGAAATTCTGGCTCATGGTTCCTGGTAGGCCAAAAAGAACTGTGCGACTGATGGCATCTAGTAGTTATTTTGTGGCTCTTTGAAGCCACTATATCATCATAGTGGCTTCAAAGAGCCTCCAAGACTCAACCAGAAAAGGGCATTTCATTATATTCAATGCTGGTTTTTTTGTCACTGTAAAGTCATAGATTTTATTGCCTTTATTTGACAGTAAACAATTACAATAATTGGACACCGTTACTCCCAATTAAAAATTTGTTTAAGATTTATGAAAGGATAGATATTTTAATTTTAAACTTTTTTTTAATATTTAAGGATGTTTTCATCGGGCCTGGAGTTCACACACCCTAATGAAAGAGGTGAATTTGAGGTAGCAGAAGGCTTTTCATCAGCTGTATTCCGTGCTGTCCTGGATTATTACAAGAGTGGAACAGTTCGCTGCCCTCCCTCTGTTAGTGTACAAGAACTCCGTGAGGCCTGTGACTACCTACTTATTCCATTTGATGCCAACACTATTAAATGCCAGAATTTACGTAAGTTTTAAACTGTTACAATAAAGTAAGGTCTCTTCTGTGCATTACATATGAATTTAAGAGTTAATTTTAAAGTGTAATCTACTTTCTCTTGGTTCGTTTTATACATCTGCATGCTTTATTTAATCTTGAATTTGTTTGTCCTCTCTGAACTTTTTTTTCTGGGGGGAGCCCCTTTGCCTCTGTATGGAGTTCTGTGGGCCTACCGGGGGCCACGAGCCTTAACCTCAGTGAGGCATGGGGAGCAATGGCCTGTAGAAACCCCCCGTGTGGTTGAAAGCATTCTATGTCTGCCATTGACCGGGTCAGGCACCTAGAAAGGTAAGCATCCCAAAACAAACCCCTGCTCAGGTGAAAATTGATACCAAAAGCCGAACAAGTGGATGGAACTCCCAAAAAGAAATGAGCATGACATCTCACGTTGCCGCGCCGCTGTCTGCGCAGCTCCCCCCCTCCCTGGGAGGGGGAAGGGAGAGCCCCAGACCCCCATCTGGCCATCCAACCTTCAGTTCTGAGGCTGATGCTATGGGCATCAGTCGTGTGCTCTGGCTCCAGTGGTTGTTTCAGCACTGTACCTAGAGTGTGGTTACTGTCTCCTAGGTGGTGTGTGAGCCGGGAGCGATTCCTCAGTACTCGGGCTGCATGCACTTTTCAGGGTTTCCTTCCCTAGGTGCCCTGTCAGTACTGCCCTTGGGGCTTGGGGTTACCTTCCCCAACTTTCTTGGGTTCTGCCTCTGCTAGGCTGTTTACTGCTTGGTTTTCGGCTGCCCTTTGCGTGCTTGGGTGTCTCCTTAGCATGCAAAGGGAGACTCCTCTTGTTCGCTTTAGGGTGAAGGGCAGTTTTGCGCTGGTAGGGGCACAGGGTACTGCGCAGCTTTTTTTCACCTATCATAGCAGCCGGCTCTGTTCCGCTTGGGTTCGCTGTCCTTTTGCGGGGTTTTCTTTTTCTTTTTGTTTGTCTGCCTGGTGCCTTGGTTCTTGCCCCCTGTGTCCTGAGTACTCTTCCTTCTTCCAGTGATTCCTCCCTCTGCTAGGTCCCCGTGAGTGTACAAGTCCCGGGGGTTCAGTTCTTAGAAGTTTGTTTGGTAGACTTAGGCACCGGTTAGCAGTACCCTGCCTGGGTTACCTGAGAGTGAGTCCTTAAATGCTCAGGACCCTGGGAAACCCCTAGGGGGCGTGTGGATTCGATGGATGTATCCATGCAGTCCCCCCTCACTTTGTGCAAGTTAGAGGGTTGCTCTGTCCCCTTGTCTCAGGGTGATTCTCACTGTCTTTGCCTCCGTCTGCTGCTTGCGGGGTCAGTGGCACCTTCGGCTCGGAGTCCTACGAGTTTTGTTACTTGTTTGTGACTCAATTTCCCAGTCTTATGCAGACTATGCGGGTACAGGCAGCACGGGCGTTGCACATTGCATGTCGCTGTGGAAATATACTAGGTTGTTTGCTCCCTGGAAGCCCCGAGGCTACCCCGTTTTCATTGGTTTGATGGGGCTTGGGGGTGTTGGTTGCTTCGGTTTTGTTTCTTTCCGCATCCCCTTGTTTTTTTCCCCGTTATGTTCACCTCTTCCTCCCTACATCCGGATCCTTATCGTCTGTAGGTTTGAAGTCTCAAGACCACCCTCAGGTGGTCTTGAGACTTGGGCGGTCTCGGGGACTTTCCCTTCCGGGGTAGCGATGGGGGCATTCGAGCCTGTTCCTCCAGCCGTGTTGTATGAGTCTGCCAGTGGGCTCCTTTCCTTAGTACTTGGCCGGGTGCCCCGGCTTTTCTTGTGTGGTTGGGGCTTTGGAAATTTCAAGATGCTAGTGCTCTCTAGAGTGGAATACTGCTGGAATACAATGGCAGCCCCTTTCAAAGCTGGAGAAATTGCTGACCTGGAGAGCGTGCAGAGATCCTTTACTACTAGAATCCACTCAGTAAAACATCTAAACTATTGGGACCAACTAAAAAGCCTAAACCTGTACTCTCTTGAGTGCAGGCGGGAGAGATACATAATAATTTACACATGGAAAATAGTAGAGGGGCTCATCCCAAACCTGCACACAGAAATAGCAGCATAGAGTGGTAGACGGTTGGAACAAGTTAAGTGAGAAGGTGGTGGAGGCCAAGACCGTCAGTAGTTTCAAAGCGTTATATGACAAAGAGTGCTGGGAAGACGGGACACCACGAGCGTAGCTCTCATCCTGTAACTACACTTAGGTAATTACATGAGACCAAAAGGTATGGCAGGATGTGCAGAATACCCCCGTTGAAGAGCAGAGGTGTAACAGGTACTCTGAGAGAGAACTCTATCAACATCAGAGGCCCGAGACTGTTCAACACGCTTCCGCTACACATAAGGGACATAACTGGCCGACCCCTCACAGTGTTCAAGAGAGAACTTGACAAACATCTCCAAAGGATACCTGATCAACTAGGCTGTGACTCATACGTCAGGCTGTGAGCAGCCGCGTCCAACAGCCTGGTTGACCAGTCCAGCAACGAGGGAGCCTGGTCGACGACCGGGCCGTGGGGTCACTGAGCCCCATAATCGCCTCAAGGTAACCTCAAGGTTGGGGGGACAGCTCGGCCCCAAGACCTACCTTGTGGGTTCCCAAGGCTGGTGAAGGGCTGACTTGGGGGAAGGGGCCTCTGCCTACATTAGACCCCGCCTGGGTTTTTCTACCCGCTGGGCAGGGCTTGAGGTTACGGGGAGTGGGTTTCCCCCCCCCCCCCCCTCTCCGTACGTGTTTTTGGGTGTCAGCCCCTCCCTGGGTTCGGTTCCTTGTCCCTTGGATCCGTCAGTTCCGTCCTGTCGATGGGTACGTTTCTCCACCCTTCTTCTTGGGACGGACCTTCACCGTCATGTTCCCCTCTTCTTGGTTTCTGCATGACTTTTGGTCTCGGGTGGGACTAAGCCTTATGTGCCTTCGTGCTTTACGCTTGCTTCGTCCTGTATTATTGGAATGTCTGTCGTCTTCCGGTGAGGCTTCCCTCCGGTCCTTTCTAGGGCTTGTTGGTCCTCCTCCGTGCTTTTTCTCGGTTTTCAGTCTTGTTTCCTTCTTTCGTGATTGTATCTTCTCTCCGTGCTCTGTCTTGGCACTGCTCGTTTTTTTGTTTTTTTTCTCAATTTTCTAGGTAGCACCTTCCCGCTGAGCGGGTTGTGTGGTTCGGCCCTCCTGTCCTGTCCAGATTGGGCTACTTGTAGCCCACATGACGGGCTATGCTATGTATGTTTCGCTACTTTCTCCTCTTTTCGGCTACTGTTAAATGCTGATCTATGTTCTCTGAACAGGGAATGAATCGTTAACAAGCATATTTTGTCTAGTTTTATAGTCATATTCGTGATTTTTAATTCTTCAGCTTGTGCCTTCTGGCAGCCCAAATCTAGCATCCCTGGGGCTGCACGTGCTCCGTGGTAGTTTTTGATATGGGCGGTGTGCATGTGTGCTGGTGTTCTGCATCCTTTTTTTTTTTTTTTTTTGGGTGCTTCGCCTCTCGCTCCTCTCTATTCTCCAGTCCGTTGCCCTATAGCTACTGGGGGTGTTCTGGATTGCCGCTATGGGAAGACGCCAGGTTTTCCCTACGTATGGGTGTGGGATGCCTCCTTCGCCTCTACCCTCCTCGTCTCCTGCATGTGCAGCTTTGCCTTCTTCCACTGGCAGTGCTCCCGGCATCTTCTTGGCTACGTGGTGTCCTGACACGTTCATGCCTACATTCTACAGGCGAGTTTCTGCGGTCTGGCGTCTCTTTCAACCAGGTGTTGGTTTGTGATTTTGGATACAAATATAAGCACATCGGACCACAGGTGACTCCAGCAGGCCTATTGGGCCCTATTTATACCCATCCAGTCCCACTCTTATGCATGTCCAACCCATGCTTGAGTCCAGCAGGGGCCCCACCTTCACCAGGTTACGAGGTACAATGGTGGGGTGTATGTTATGGGGTAAATGTTCTTGTGTCAGGATGTTATCAGGTGCCGTTTTGCTGCAGTTTTCTTACAGTGGATGCATGTTGGGGATTGGTTGTGGTGTTTTGTTTGGCCCTTCCGTGCTTCTTCCTGGGGCCTTCCTTGTTCATATTGGGTTAATTGTTGGAAGGGGGATCACTGCCCCATTTACGTGGTCTTATCTGGGTCACTCATTCTTTGCCCGTCTTGCAGTGCCTGGCTTGGCTCTTCCATATACAGTGGGGCCTCGATTTACGATGGTAATCTGTTCCCCAGAGACGTATCGTAAGTCGAAATATCGTAAGTCGAAGCAATTTTTCCCATAAGAAATAAAGGGAATTGAATTAATCCGTTCCCCACCCTCCAAAATATTGACTTACAAATACATTTTATACTGAATACAAGTTTTTCTCTAACTACAATACAGTACATATGTTTATCTTACCTTTTTGGAAGACTCTTGATGGTGTATGGAAGATGGTGATGAGGAGGAGAAGTGTTACTGTTTGGAAGGGGAGTCTCCTTCCATTATCACATCAGGCAGTGAGGTTTTCTCTGAGGTACTCTCTCTCCTATGTTTTGCCTGCATACCACAAGGATTTGGTTGTGGCTCACTGCTTGTTTGTCTCACTAAGAATTTGTCTAGAGACACTTGTTTTTCCCTTTGTTTTAACATTTGTCTGTAGTGATGCATCACAGTGTGATTGAAAAGGTTAAGGCAACGGCCTACTGCAGCTTGATTTGGGTGATTCGATTCAGCAAAAGTTTGCAGTTCTTCCCATGCTGCACACATTTTCTTAATTTTTTGGGAAGGGACATTCTGTACTGCCTCCTCCTCCCCTAAAGAAATTTCCTCAGCTACCTCTTGTTGCTGCTCCATGTGAAGGGCTTGGAGTTCTTCGGTGGTCAGTTCTTTGCTGTGTTCCTCCACCAACTCCTCAATATCAGCACCATCCAACTCCAAGCCAAATTGCTGGCCCAGAGAAACAATTTCCTCAACAAGAGGCACTTCAGGTTCAGGCTCAAACCCCTCAAAGTCTTGTTCTGCAACACATTCAGGCCACAATTTTCTCCAGC